TAGAAATGCAAAAAGTGAGGATGAAAATAACGGTACATAAAAAAAAAAAAAAAATTGGTACTTGGACAAGATTGCCATTAGGATCAAAACGTAAGAGAACTTAGAGAAGTTTATCCAATTATACTACCTGATCAATTATGCAATTTTAATTAAAAAAAGGAATTTTGAGTAATATTTAAATTTAAGTTCTAGATTAAACCCGAAACCAGACTAATCTCTCAATTTAAATTTAACCCCTTGTTTGCTAGAGATTAAAACAATATTTTTAGTAAATTTTGACAAAAATAATAGAATATGTGTTTGAAATTATGGATCCCATAAAATATATATTTACAATTAATTATTAATTTTAACTTAAATTAAAATTTAAGTTTTAATGAATTTTAATCACCACCAAATACGCCTTCAACAAAGAATTTCAGTTACAACTACGCTAGAAGTACAATATTTTGTACAATTGATTGACAAAGGGACTGAGTGGCGCATCCTATTTTAAAAATAGAATAATTCTTTCAATTATCCTATGTGTGCCATTGGATAGTCATGTGAAAAGTCCACCATTCAAGGGTGGGTCAACGTCACCAAGATTTTTATCATGAGTCTTTGAAGTGTGAAAAAGGCCCCTTTTCGTATTGAAAACTTGTTGATTACTTTATGTAATTTGTGGTCCCTTCATAATCTACATTTGTGGTGTTTTCTCCTTGCATTTGTGGTTACAAATCATCATTGTTTCTTGTCCTTTGTGGGTAAAATTAAATAGCAACCGACGTGAATATGTTGGTTGTGGATTGGAGCCAATTGGTTTAGTTGTTTGGTAGAAAAATGTACGTTGGACTAAGCTCTAAAAACACCGATTTGAAGATCCTTGGAGTGAGCTTTCACTACACAGAGTATAAGATAGAATCTCGGCCCCATTCCTTTATCAGGAGTACATTTTCACTGGAAGAAACTTGATCTAGTTCCTCTTGACAAAGGTAACACATTCGAGATTAATTGTACATCATTATTTGAGATGATTGAGAAGCGTTACCAAGATGGTAATAATCATGTGAAGGTAGAAATATTACAAAAATTGAAAGAGATTGCTAGTTTGATTTCTACATCATTAGTTGATCCACAAGTCCAAACTAAAACAAATGGCCGTCCATCTTCAAATATAGATGTATTTACTCATCGAGACCGGTCTTATTTTAAGTTAGTGGTATTTGGACAAGATAATATGTTACAACAACTGGATAGTTCCATTATGCCTTAAGTCAGCCTACGTTATTAACCTAGCCTCCAATTAGAGAGAGAGAGAGAGAGATGTATCGAGCACGTGGATCAAAGTCCATTGCTTATTTTGATTCATTTTACATTCGTTTGGGACCTTACATAACTGGCAACTGCGAGTTTTTTGGCCGTGGCTATATTGCAGGCATAGGTGAAGATAAAATTTAATTAACTAAATGATATTTCTACTTTTGTTTTTCTATGTAATTGTGTGAAGGTAAATTGTCATACTAGTGGACCATTGTCACATATTGCTTGTAATTGGTACAAGTACCATTATCCATGTGCAGAGGGGTGGGCTACATCTTATCATGCTAGGACTCAATTTTTTAGATCCCTAATAGAAGAAGATGTATCTATATCAAAGATAATTAATTTGGATAAACTATAAGAACAGTTAACGATAACACCACTATTATTATTTGAACAGTTAATTGATTTGTTCGCTACTATTTAATTACGGATCAAATTATGATCGCATGGATTTGGGATGGAGAAAAGTTTGATGAAGATTTGGTTTGGTTATGTTCATGTGTTGGTTCTTGGCGGTGTCAGTGTGAGTGGTTAAATTGAATGAGATACACACAGACTTTCCATTTTTTATGATGCAATATTATTTAAAAGTCTAAATCGACTAACCGAATTGAATCAAACCAAACCGATTTGATTTGGGTCGATTCGGTTTAAAAGTTAGAGTGGGTTGATTTGGATTGAAATTTTTCCAAACCGACTAATTTAGTTTTGGTTTCAGGTTGGAGTCAACCAACCGAAATCAAATCGCGCCCAGACCTATTAATAATTTGTGGTTGTTTGCTTTGGTGGATTTTGAGTTTTAAGAACAAGAACGTTAAAATTTCTGATCTAACATGGTTAAGCGAATAATATATGTTAATATAATGTTCAATCAGTTCAACTTTGTTTTTATTTCGTTCATATGGTTTAAAGAGTTTATGATTTTGGGGAATATGTGGATCTATAATGTTAGAAATGTATTTAAAGTGGAATGAATATATAAAATTCATTTGGATATATAGTATTTTAATGAATAAATTTAATAAGGACGAAATTTGAAATATGATGTGGATGTAAATAATATTTTTTTAAAAAAATAAAATTTAATAGGAATGAACTTAGAATGAGATAGAAATGCAAAAAGTGAGGATGAAAATAACGGTACATAAAAAAAAAAAAAAAATGGTACTTGGACAAGATTGCCATTAGGATCAAAACGTAAGAGAACTTAGAGAAGTTTATCCAATTATACTACCTGATCAATTATGCAATTTTAATTAAAAAAAGGAATTTTGAGTAATATTTAAATTTAAGTTCTAGATTAAACCCGAAACCAGACTAATCTCTCAATTTAAATTTAACCCCTTGTTTGCTAGAGATTAAAACAATATTTTTAGTAAATTTTGACAAAAATAATGGAATATGTGTTTGAAATTATGGATCCCATAAAATATATATTTACAATTAATTATTAATTTTAACTTAAATTAAAATTTAAGTTTTAATGAATTTTAATCACCACCAAATACGCCTTCAACAAAGAATTTCAGTTACAACTACGCTAGAAGTACAATATTTTGTACAATTGATTGACAAAGGGACTGAGTGGCGCATCCTATTTTAAAAATAGAATAATTCTTTCAATTATCCTATGTGTGCCATTGGATAGTCATGTGAAAAGTCCACCATTCAAGGGTGGGTCAACGTCACCAAGATTTTTATCATGAATTGCAAAAGGTAATTAAATATATTCACACCACAAATTTTATTTCTTACACAACATTATAATTGTATTTAAAGTTCTTGATCTTTGCTCATTATTGCACCTATATTCCTAATGATTTTCAAGTCATTTTTATCCTAAAACTTTCTATTAGTTAAAATATTTTGTATATGGTAAAAATCTTATGTACAAAAATTTATTAAAACAGCATAAAATAACTTATTTTTTCATCATATTTTTAAAAGTAAATAGATAAAAAGTGTGAATTTTTTTATTTTTTCCTTATTTCAATGCATAAAAATAAAATATTTTGATATCAACCATTATAAATGACGAGACATACTAATAAATGGAAGGTTGAATATGATAATTCAACCAAAACAATTAAGAAAATAAGTGTTATAATCAACCAAAATTAACGATTTTATATACGATTAAAATGTAATGTATCAAATAATAATTGTCATGATAATATAATCACTCATCTCAAAATAATCTTGGATTTCACGCAAAGTCTCACGCATGCCCTCAACAGAGCAATCAAGGATCATGTCACTCAACTACTACCGTTGACTAGACACAAGATAATGCTTATTCATTGTGGGTCCCCTCTTATGTGAGGGGGCTATACACTAATGTACATGTAGTATCTTTCTTTAGTCCATATTAGGTAATCATTCTTGAAATTTGTTTGCTCTTACTCATTTTTAATCACACATTTTCACTCCCAAAAAATTTTTTCACGTAAATAAAAAATTACATTTTAAACATGCATTTTTTAAATATTTACTATTTAAAAATTCATTCTCCCCAAACAATGATTGTCAAATAGGGGTTTAGCCCTGATTTATATAGGAATTAAAATCTAAAATTTTATTAAAACCAAATTTAATAATTAATTATAATCATGTATTTCATGAAACTTTCAATTTTTTAATTCTACATTTTATCAACTATTATCAAAATTTGCTAAAAGCTAATTTTAGCCCTTATTTAAGCCTCATTTTCTCAAAACTTATGTTTAACCACATATTCTTCCATAAAATAGTTTTACTCGTAAATTAAAAAATCTTCCTTATTTTTCAATTACATATTCTTCAAAAAATTACCATTCCAAAATAAATATCCTCCAAGAAATGAGGCTCGAATAAGAACTTTCATCTCAACTAAATGGGGCCTCAGAATGCAAAATTTTTCCTCAACAATAAAATAAGAAAACCATGCATTATTGGTCCCCAATTTATAATATAAGTAGAAACTTGGTTACCAACCTTCAAATATAAGTAAGTCAATCCTTAATCTTTGAATATGAACAAGTTGATCACGATCTTTAGAAATGATAAGTTTACCATCGACCTTTTATTATAGCTGTGTAATCAATTTTCAACCTCAAAACTCGTTTATCTATTATAATTATCATGTAACCTTCCAACTTTAAGGGCATGTTTAGTGCTGATTATGAGAATTAATTTTTTGACCGTTAGCTGAAAATGTGGATTCCACCTGTGAATGAAGAGGTAAAAAATAACAGTTGACAATGGTAAGTAATGATAAAAAAAATTTATTTTTTGGCTTAAAAATTTAGAACTAAACGAGGGCTAAATTGATTTTCCAGCTTAGAGCAATGCTTGAAATATGAAATAACCTATTTATAAATTTTCAAGACAGTCATGTTACAATTTAACAAGAGTTATACAATTATAATTAAAGGTTGAGGAACAATCTAGAAATCTCCGAAAATCATTCATAAAGAACGAAGATTTGTGGATGCTCGAATTACAAATTCACTTCATATTTTTTCAGGTTCGTAATTCCACCAAAAGGATTGCCCTCTCAATTCGAAGTATTTACAATGGACTTCCATGACTAGAATCATTACCATGATCGTCGTGGGAACGACCTTTCCTTCTTCCGTCTCAAACCTAGCAACTATGTTCCCCTCCATCTCCAATTTTAGAGATTATAAACTAACTTGCTTTTTTGGTAATAGAATGAGCACTTATTGCTTTAAATTTTCACAAAAAATATTTCAAAGTTGACATCACTTCTCTCTCTATCTCTACAATTATCTTGTTTCAGTACACTCTCTCTCCTAAGCTCCTTTTACTTTGTGTCTGTGTCCATGGCTAAAGCCAGGGCCGCTCGCCGTACCCTAGATTCCTACACCGTTAAACACATCAACAAGACTGTCCGACGTAAGTTTAATTCATTATTTTTAATTATTTTTCCAGTTTAATTTGAAATTCTGTAGATAAATTCTAACCACATGATACGGACTAATTACTGTAAATCTTTTCATTTTTGTATGGCTTGGTTGATTTTTATGCAGCCGGAGATTGCGTATTGATGAGGCCGACCGATCCGTCGAAGCCGTCGTACGTGGCGCGATTGGAGAAGATCGAGTCGGACAGTCGCGGAGCGAACGTGAGGGTGCACGTACGGTGGTACTACCGGCCGGAGGAGTCGATCGGCGGCCGCCGCCAGTTTCACGGCTCCAAGGAGGTGTTTTTGTCCGATCATTTTGATATTCAGAGCGGCGACACAATTGAGGGCAAGTGTACGGTCCATAGCTTTAAGACCTACACTAAGCTGGATGCAGTTGGAAACGATGATTTCTTTTGTCGCTTCGAGTACAATTCATCTACTGGTGCCTTCAATCCCGATAGAGTCCCCGTGTATGAGTTGCATCTGTGGTGATTAAATTTGATCAGTTTGGTGACTGAATTATTGAATTTAGTGGAGTTTCAGATGCATCGGAGTTGAAACAGTTAATTGGTTTCTAATTTGTGTCATCAATTTACGTAAGGGAAAAAAGTTGACGATAGCAATTTTACTCCATGATATTTTCTTTGTTTTTACTGGCTAAATTATGCAATTTCTTGGTTGATATATTTTGAGAAATTATTAGAATATGCTTTCTTGGTTTCTTGGTTCTATTTTTGTTGTTGTCCTGCCAATTATTGTGATCATTCACCCGGAAAAATAAAATATGTTATGTGACAACTGGGTTGCTAATGATGCTGCTATGTTTCATTGAAGTGAAAACAGCTAGTTAAAGTTCTTACTTTTCAAGTAAAATAGAAAAATGCATTGCCTATTGATTTGTGTTTTGTGATATCTGGGTAAGGTTTCTGTTGTTAACAATTTGCCTATTTAGCACCTTAAGTTGATACCATTAGCTCAATCATTTTCTTATTGTAAATATAGTCTGGTTTTACTCTGATTTATCTACCATGATGATATTTTATTTTATTTTATTTTATTTTATTTATTTATTTATTTTTATTTTTTTGTGCATCAGCATATTTTAGATTTGGCAGAATTCATTGCCTATTAGCGAAATACAGTGACCAATTTCAGAGTTTCACCTCTATTAAGTTAGGATTTGATTGCAGTAATATTTGACATTCTGAGCTTAGGTTATACAAAACGGAGTAGGAACAGTTATGTTTTTGCTTGGATGATGAGTTTGATGACTTTGCGTTCAACTGTTGATTTACAATTGTCTAGTTGTACATTTATGGTCTGGAGAACGTGATGGGTTTGTTTGTTTACTAGAATGTGGGCTGCAAATCTTGTGAGTATTGTTGGTTTTCCAAGTTTTTAAAATATCCCTCTCCATCTTGATTTGGCAGGTATTGTAAATGTGAGATGCCTTACAATCCTGATGATCTAATGGTTCAGTGTGAAGGATGCAGTGATTGGTGAGTCCAATGACCCATAATCGTTGTTTCAGCTCATTATTTTACATGGTTTCATCTCGGGATGTAATTTATTCTGCCATTTTTGTCACTATGTTGAGAAGCTGCTCTTGCACTTACTGGAGCTCAATGAATTGGACGCTTTATTTGCTTAGATCTTGTAGGACTCATGTTTCCGTATTTAGCTTATACATGATTACACCGGTTGTTGGGTTGGTAAGGGAATTACGTGTTTATGTTTATGAACTAACTCTAGTAAGTTTTAAAACAGCGGAATTTCTTTGTGAAACACTTTTTGCCTTTGTCGTGTCACTAATTCTCCTAGCTTCTACAATTTATATGACAGTATGCTGAGGTCTTCTGCATATCTACATCAGGTTGTATTTGGAATACTCACAGTTTTATGGAGGCTAATGATTATGTCAATTGGGATGAATCAATTTGTACATGTATATTGGGAAATGATCCAAATAACACTGGTGGTTAACTTATGCTTAAGCATAGGTGACATGATATATCAATTCATTGGTGGATCATTTAACTTTTGGGACTTATCATGAACTTATTCACCATGTCACTGGTACTTAGCATTAGTTAAGTACCGGTGCTCAGTAGATCATGTCTCATAAATATTGCTTTATTATTTGCTTTATGTTAGATTGAACTTCTATTACTTTCAGGACCGAGCGGCTTGTCAGCTCTGCCGCTCGGCTCGTGGGGGGCTTGGGCTCATCATTTACTGAGCCGAGCAAGGCTCAGCTCGTTAAGCTCGCGAGCAGCTTTTGGGCACGGCCCAAGTCAAAAATGTGAAGAAAAATGTTGAAAATTTTCAGAAAATAAAAATAATTGAGGAGCTCATGGCTCGTGAACTCACGAGCTCGTGGGCGAGCTCGACACGAGACGAGCACGAGCCGAGCTCGTGTGTTTAAGGGCCACCTCTACAGTTCCACTCAAAATGAATATCAGAATAATATTGCAGCAACTCGAGATTGGAGCTGGTTTCCAGCAAAGTACATGTAGCGTATCTGTGATGTAAAGCATACTCAGCTCATCCCAAATAGTTGATGGTCGTTCACTTTTTCTTTTCTTTTTCCAGGGAGAGAGGGGATTTAGGTCCTAATTTGGCAGACATGACCATCATTCTATTTTTTATTGATATGTTTAAAGATAGTTCTGGTTATGCATCAAAATTACTGTTTAGCTTCTTATATGTGTAACGACTATTCAAATATTTATTTGAATCTTCGAATAGCTGAGTTGGTTGGATCTGATCCTCACCGTCACTAGACAAAAGACGCTATTTATAATTTTTATATGATCTTAATGAAAAGAGAAAAGTTAATGGTGTTTACCACAATAATGTTGTTTCTCTAGCTCTCTTGATTGATGACTTATGCTGTCGTGCAAGTACATGTATCTTTACTATCTTCACATGAAATTAAATTTGGTCCCTATGCGCTTTTTGCATTTTTACTAGTCACTGCATTGCTTTTGCTTAGTAGATCTGATTGAAGTATATTATTGGTGATTTCATTAATAGATATTACATCACTGTTTTTCTCTAGCACTGTTAAAGATTGCTGCTGACTCTTGTTGGCTGGCTACTTCTGTTGATTCTATAATCTCATCTCCTAGTCTGTTGTGACTTATGCAATTGTGCATGCATACAGTCCTTCAGGCACTCACTCCGTGTCACAAAATTTGTTCAGATATAGTCTCATTCTTTGCAAGAAACAAGCTAACTAAGATTTGCTATTTATGTGGAAAATATCCTAGAAAATTTTATTGTGAGCTTATTGATAGAACGATAACCTTTCCCTATCACTTCTCAAAAAGCGAGATGAAACTTTCTGCATACGGATTTTACATGTTTAGCAAGCTTGGCCACTCATCCTTCGAGGAAAATGTACACTCTAATAGTTTGGCTCGCCTAGAATTAAGATAAGGAATGACAAATATGAAATAAGAGCTTCTGTTCGTAATAACTGGGTTCAACAGAAAAGAACTCTTATGTTACAATTAAATTTGAAGTGTTTCATAGAGAATTTTTGAACTTTCTGGTATTTTGAGAACTGTTTGGTGCGAGTGACGTTGATTTAGTCTCTACTTAAAAGAAATTCAGCTGTCAACCTCTATTTCAAGGTCCTCAATGAAGGTGTTTGGTAAGTTAGGGAAAAAAGGTGCCACTAAACTTGCATCAGTAGATGACTTATAATAAATGGAAGCTATAAATATTTATATATGAGGATTACTGAAGGTCTAATGGATTGCTAGATGCTGTAGGTTTAAACTTCTCATTTGGTATTTAATTTTTACTCTTATTTTTGATAGGAATCTTAAGGCCTTGTTTGAGCCACATTATTTGAAAAAAATACATTCTTCAACATTGATTTGACATAACTTCAACCACACATTCTTTAATAAAATAATGTTGCACGCAAATCCAAAACATTTCCTTATTTTTTAATCACACATTTTTCATCAATATACTATTCAAAAATGCATTTTCTTTCCAATTATGTGTCTCAGAGTTTGGATTATCATCTAATTAGAAAATGCATTGAATAGATATGTAAGAGAATGTTGGAAATCACTCTCCGTCTGGTGGTATTTATTACTCCTCGATATGTAATTATTGACATTGGCATTATTTTATCATGATTTTCATATTATTTATTAAATCAGTCCAGGATTAACTTTCAAACAAAGCATTGAAATATTCAATTTTTCACTTGTTTCAGGTTTCATCCAAATTGTATAGACATGACTGCAGAGGAAGCCAAGCGACTTGAGCACTTCTTTTGTCATAATTGTTCCTCCCAAGATCAGAAGTTACATAACTCTCATGTTGCTTCCAGACATGCAGACACAAAAGTAATCACGCTGCTGCATACTATTTAATTATTTCTGCTCTCCTGATGATACTTTCTTTAGCGTCAGGTTGACTAAAAACGTTACTTGAGTTTGATATTTTTAGCATGCCTTGAGAAATATCAAATTCGTTTACGTCAATGATAATTTTGGCATGCTTAAGATTTATCTACCTTCATAAAAGTTTAAAACGTTTTAGCTAATAATTATCAACAGAGAGATCTAAATGAAGCCATTTATATAATCAAGTCATGTTGATTCAACGAGTCATCAACTTCTTATGGGTGAAATAAAGGCATGATCTTTACCTGCGGCTGTTTAACTTCTGTATTTTAATTTCATTTTCCATTGGCCTCTTTTCCATATTGGACACTAAGGGTGTATATGATTGCCTAGAACTTATTTGCATGAAAATTGTCAATTAAATGTGTTTTATTGGCTTAATTTTCAACCTAGAATATGTTGTATTTTTTCATAAAGTTGAGTTTTTGGGAAATGTGAATTTCCTAGAAAATTAAAACCTATCCATTATAAAAAAAGTACTTTCCTTGTTTTTGGGGAGAATATGGCCATGTGACCAACTTTTGGAAAATATTTTCCATAGCAAAAAATATCGATCAAATACCCCAAAAATAGAAACTTGGGTGGAAAAATGACATTTCTTGGGGAAGAATAAAGTCAATGAAACACACTTTAATTGTTGCACTTGCTTGGCACATGAGATTATCAGTATATGACTCTCATTTCTGAAATTGATTCTTTGGTTTTACTTATTCTAGTCTATGTACGTCAGGCATTCAGTTGTTTCTACTAAAGGATAATTCGAAGCACATTTTTTTACCCCCTCTCTTCCCCTTTTCAGCAGATGTACATAATACTTGTTAGATATAGAGCACGTTTTGCCTACTTTAGAAAAGTTATTAGATTTACTTGTTAGTAATGAGTTCTACAAATTTTAATTGGTAAAAGTAGAGAATAAGTTACTTATTTTTACAGTAAGAAAAGAGTTATTTCTAACTTTTTTGCTTTAAAGTAAGAAAAAAGTTAATATATCCAAATGGTAGGTTTGAGAACTATGAATGCTCTCCCGGATCTTATAAGAAGGATTGCCATAACCCACCCTGAAATAACTACCCACTTTGTTTGGACTCCTATAGAATGTGTTTTCTGATTTTTACATGTTCAATCACACATTGTGTGGGCGTTTCAGGTGGAGACCAAACGGCGTAGAAGGTGATAAAGCATGTGACACATTGGAGAAACTGTAAATCTGTCAGTAGAATGCGAACAAACACGGAGGCAATGACGACTCATCAGAGGCAATAAAATTTGTGAGCTGATGTAATCGAGGGGAGCAAATTTGGAAACTCGTTAGTATTTATATAGTTTGAAAGACAGTTAGTCACCGTGTTTCCTTGTGTCGGTCGAGGATGTGTTTGGTTGTCTGTAATTATGTAATGTGGGAGTCTGCCTTTATGTTTCTTGGCTTTTCTGGGTTCTCTTTGTAGTATTCAACTTATTGTTAACCTATATAAAAGGCGTAGATGAAGAAGTCTTTGATGTGTGTTAATTTTGGCGTAAGCTATATCGTGGTTAGTATAATTGATGTTTCATTTACTCGCTTGGGCATGAAAGAATAAAAATAAAACTGGGAAAGGGGACTCTGCACCCATTGCTTACGCCTCTAATTGTAAAAATAGTTGAAAATAAATTTTAAAAAAAACGTTGCTGGGTTCAATGTATTATTTATCTTAGTTTTGATTAACTGACTGAAACCAAAACTTGAACTGACAGTTGGGAGTCGGATTGGTACTGATCTGTTCATCAAACGAAAAATGAAATTTAAGCTCTAAAATGTTTTGAAAAATTCCGTTGCCGGGACTTGAACCCGGGTCTCTCGGGTGAGAGCCGAGTATCCTAACCAACTAGACTACAACGGATTTGTTGACAGTTAATAGCTAATATTATATATATAGATTTTAGACAAATTCTTGAGAGACCAGCCACGCTGATATTTTGGGACCTTCGGTAAGACAAGAATCTGATCCATTTTTGTAGAATTAATTTAATAAAAAACACAGCTCTCAAATTATATACAATCATGTAAGAGAAAAGAAGAGAATTAAAAAGCGGTCTATCTTCATATTTTAGTTTAATTAGGTCTCGAAAGAGTGTGAATTTTAAGCATAAGGACGGGGGTGCATCCAAGATCGAAGTCCAGCTACAACAGAGGTTGATTGTTGACCGTCGACAATCAACAATCATAATAGTCCGATCGTTTATTAAAATTTGATTAAATAATATTAAAAGTTATTCAATAATCATTCCTTATTAAAATATAAATTGTCTATCATAAATCACAGTTCGCAAACATAATTTCGTAAACATAAATTCCCGAAACATAAATCATTCCTCATAAAAACATAAATTACTTATAATAAATCACAATTCACAAACATAAATTCCTGAAACAATAATCATAACATAATTAACATTCATTAGTTATTACTCAACATCAACAAGTTAAATAGCCAACAAAATTAAACAAAAAAACAAAATAAATAAATAAAGAGGGAGAACGAGTCACCAGTCACCAAACTCACGGCACTCGGACTTGGCTTGCAATCGGCAGTCGACAACAGAAGCTGCAAAACATTAAATACTAATTATTGTGTAATGAGTTATTTAAAGCGGAGTGTTGTACATTAAATACTAATTAATGAATGATCATTGTATTCCTATAATTCTAATTATTATGACTATTGTACCTTCTGTAGTCTTTTTTTCCTCTATAAATATCAATGTTTTGAAAATTGGACCAGACATTAATTCGAAAAAAAAAAGAGAGGGAAGGGTCGAATTGAAGTTAAATCGGGGTCGACCCGAAAATTAAATTAATTAAATAAATAAAATTTTATTTGAATGTATGCTATTTAAAATATAAATTACTCTATAGATATAAAGATTTTGAAAAATTAATATTAATTTTAAGAGTATTTTAAGTATTTTCATTTTGGTAAAATTGCAGCAGTGGTACCAAACCGAAAGTTTATTAGCAGATTTTGCCCAAACCTTTAGTCTATACCACCGTGAATACCAAACCTTTGAAAAACTTGCACCTGGAGTCCAAATGAATGGTTTCTATTAGTTTGACGGTTAGTTGACCCAATAAATTGACTTTGACCAATTTTAATAAGGGTAAAATTGTAACTTTGAATTAAACTTTAAAAAAAAAAAAAACAAGAAATAAAAAAAAAAAAAAAAAAAAAAAAAAAAAAAAAAAAAAAAAAAAGAAACAAAAAATCATAAACGTCACTGTTCATCTTCTCCTTCACCCACTCTCATCCCCACCCTTTATCCCCATACTACACCACCACAGTCCAAACCTCGATGGATACACGACAGGGCTGAAATCCGCCACCTCCTTAGACGTTAGACTCCAGGTCATTCCAGTCACAAGCTTATTCCAGTCACAAGCTTAGTCGAGTACACTGCAGTTTGCCCATGGCTCACCCGGGTCCTCATGAGTATTTTTTCTTGCTCAAACTTTCACCCATTGAACTTGACCTATTCTTTATTGAAACCCTTCGATTCGACCCCACCAAACGAGTCTGAACCCGCTTCAACTGCTTCACTCGTTCATAATTCCTGTTCGACTCGTATAGAACTTCAAGTGTGGATCTTGGCCTAATACTGTGAATAACCATATCCATGTAAATGAGGTGTAGCAATGGCGCCGCAGAGGGAAGGGCATGTTCGGCTAGAAGAGGATTAATTTTGGAGAATGATGAAAAAGACGAAAAATGGCCATCGAAATTGACAGATTCTCCATCAGTGAGCTTGAGTTCATTTGCTTGGAAGCAGGGGGTTATGTTATAAGAACCTGCGTCATGGGTGGGTTTTGTTTTGGGTGGTGTGGTATGCTGGGGTGGGGTAGGAAAGAGAAGATGAACAGTTCACCGTGATTTTTGTTGATTTTTTGTTTCTTTTTTATTTTTATTTTTAAGTTTAATTCAAAGTTACAATTTTACCCCTGTTAAAATTGGTCAAAGTCAATTTTTTGGGTCAACTAACGGTCAAACTAACAGAAACCATCCATTTGGACTCCAGGTGCGAGTTTTTCAAAGGTTTGATACTTACGGTGGCACAAACTAAAGGTTTGGGCAAAGTCTGCTAATAAACAAAATGTTTGGTACCGCTGCTAGAATTTTCCCTTTTTTAATTATTTTTTAACAATCATTTCATTACATAAAAATTAAATGGGCCCAAAAAAGTCGTAAGCTACATATGAAATAAGTAGGCCCAATAATGTTATAAACCTAGAAACCTATTCCATTTCATGAAAACAGTGCTTCCTTCTCATTTTCTTCTTCACGTAACTTCTTCTTCTCAATTTATCCTGCGGTTTCTTCCTTCTTGTTTATTCCCAACAACAATTACTTCAAGCTTGAGCCCAAATCAAAAAATAAAAAACTAATAAAAAGGGGATCGTCTCTTTACTCTGTCATCTTCTTCTCCGGCCGGCTCTACGACTCCACAATTTTCTACCCGACGGTTCTAAAGCTTCCAACGGAGCTAGCACGGGCGGCCGTGCCCCCTCGCCAAGTGCTGGCTCCGTGCCTGCATAAGGATCATGTGAACAAAATCCAACTTTGGGTGAGAAAATACCCTTGAAACTCAGGATAATACTTTAAAAATCTTTCCTGCTCTTTAACGCTAAGAAGTAGCAACATTGTCTTTCTCATAAAAGGCCACTAGTTTCTACTGGATTGTGAAGCAAAAGAAAAATCCATAAGATTGGAAGAATTGCACAAACATCAATTTTCTATAATATAGTAACCCTGCATATAAAAGGATGTTTGGTGAGAATTAAAATCAATTTTTTTAGTAGACTGTGATAGAAGATTTGAAATGTATTGTTGAAAAGTTATGGGACCCATAAAAGATATTGTTAATATTGATTGTTTGACTTAACTTAGACTAAAATTAGATTTTAATCAAAACCAAACATAGGGTCCTCTAGGTAACATTTTTTTGGCATTGTAACAGACTAAATAGTTCAGTTGGCCTCACAATAAAATCATCTGATTTATGAAATAAAAGTCACAAAGCCGACCTCAAATTTAGAAATAAGGTTTAATTTGTTATCGATATTGTTTCAAAGTACATGACACATCTGAGGGAAGAGAAAGGGAGATTGAGGTTTCGGATCATTGATTCAAATTTCTTTCTAGTAAGTGCTTTATATTCTCCACCTTTGTAAGTGTTTTCAAGAATATTCAATGCTTGTCTTGCAGTATTAGCATTCAACCCTTTTTGAAAAATCATATTAGCGGGTGCTTGAATCATACTAAGAGCCTTTTGATCATTTCTTCTACTTGCTTTTTACAAGTCTCTTTGATCTTGAGACATGTCTTCTTTGTTTGAAGTTCAAAACACCTTTGTACAACGTCTAACAAATCTTGGCTTACAATATATGCTTTCATAAGAATACACTACGTGTTATAGTTGTCATTAGATAGTCGAAGAACAAAAGGAGAATTGTTTAATCTCTTCCTTCTTCGAAGCATTTTCAAGAAACTCTCTATTTATAAAAAGTATTTTATGTATAATAGAGAACGTTTTTAAATTTAGAAACCAAATTTTTTTATGGACTCCAACAATGTAATCTATTTTGACTCTTTGTTTTATTTTTTCCAAGGACATTTAATGGTTTTTCCTCCTCTTATTTAATTTTTTTTTTTATATGTCTATGACCAATCAATTCAAATGTAATTTGAATAATTTAAATGGTAGAATATTGAAATTTGCAGTTTATTAAATGTAATTATTATAAATTAAGCCTAAAGAGTGGGTTTGACACTCTAAGCATTTTATTTTAAAAAGTTAAAAATATAGAGTCTCTTGTAATTTATTTTTAAGCGTTGACTCTCTAAAGAGTCACTTTTATTTTTAAAAATTAAACTCTTTGTGTGTAGAGAGTCTCTTTGATGTGCATTAACCTTGTTCTAATACCAGTTTTGCTGGAAATTTATCACTTTTTGTTGAAAATTCAGAGATGAACAAACTTGTTTTAACAGAGGAGAGAAATAATTTTCAGAGGAGGTTCAAATTCTAATCGATTACTTATCACAAATGAGTAAAATCACGAGATTTTTACGGGCGTTACAAAATATGAATCTAAACTAATACATGTCCAAACATTAATAGGAAGTGTTATATGTACATAATTGTTTATATAATGGTGTCCATAATTACACGTGGCACTGGATCCAACCCTTAATTCAAATCTCACACTTGCACATCAACAATTGGATGATTGCCACATCACATTATGAACACCATTATGTGCAATAAGTATGAACAAGTAGAATTTTCCAACATTAATTTTATGGTAATCTCAAAATAATTCATGTAACTCCCAAGTACATGAATTAACTAGTGCTTGAATCTGGTCATTAACTCAGTACATGAATAACACCAAAAGACACATACATATAACTTTTATACGTAAATGAAGATTTATACTTGAAACAAAATCGGATAGTTTTGTCTAAAGTCCAAAAATTA